GCGATTGTCGATATCGTCGTTCTCGGAATACGGTATGCAACAATTAAATCTCGACCACGCGTACCACCTTTATATTTTTCATCAATCTCATTTTTCAGTTCCGTTGTGATTCTAGTCATTTTTTTTAGTTTTCTGTTGCTTTTCACTTACCTTTTTGCAATTCATGATTAATAAAAATAATAAAATTTTACTTACAAATTAAAACCAGAAGAAATTTAACAAAGATATAAATTGTGGCACCGCGAACGTCTAGCCTGGTCTAGTATACCGATAGTGCTACTTGTTCATAGATGGCGCGTATAATTGAATTAAGTCGTATACTGAGCAAAATTTGTTTCGTTTAAACAGGACGTATTCCGAATTGGACGTATTCTAAAGCAGACGTATACCGAGGTACCACTGTATTTGACTGTTGTTGTACATTATTTGACACTTTATATTCACATATGATATTCTTTTAAACAATTTTTATTGTATTTAGGCACAGATGTATTTTGCAGTTGATACAGTACACTGTAGCTCATACACTTTTACATTCTTCCATTGGGCAGTCGTAATTTTTGCAATTTACAATGTTTTTTGGCTTGTTTTGCTTTAATTTTGCATTGTATTTCACTGGGATGCAAAGTTGAATAATTTTTTGTATGATTTACTTTTTTTCGTCATTTTTATTTATCTTTTTTTTTTTCTTATTGCCTGTACTGTCTGAATGTGATAGCGATTTTGACACTTTTTAAAATTTGTTCTTTGAGCAGACTAATGACTTACACTCTCCAGGACAGTCTGCTCAAAGAACAAATGTTTTGTCACTGTCTTTATCACTGAACCAGTTTTCCACTTCAGACAAACTTCTATCAATATCATGTTTCTTTCTTATCTCGACTGTTGACAATGAGAAATTAAAACTAAATCATTGACATTTATTATAAATATGTGATTTATGATAATAAGAATTTATAAGTTTTTAATAAAAAAAAAAATATTGCAGACCAAATAAATAAGTAGACAAAAACAAATCACAGAAATTTGTGATAAATAAAAATAAATAATTATTTTTATTAATAAATTAATTGAATAAAAAATGATAATAAATAATAGAATACATATTGCGGTCCTAATGACCAAATATCTATAAAAGTAAATAACTTGCAAATACGAAAACAGTTCATATACTGTAATGTAATTATTGTAATATACAGACCCAATGTGTCGTATGCGACACGTTGAAAAGTTAACTCATCTCATGAAATATTGTTATTAATATAGTTTTTAAAAAATACTCTTATATACTCTTTGAAGTCTTCTCAACAAAAACATGTATGAATTGTAAAATTATAATCAATAGAAATAGAGAAAACTGAATACTGACATCAAGCAGTCATACTTATGATCACTTCCAAAAACATATGCTCAGACAATCGATTATATTTTCCTTTTTTTCTGTCACAGTGGAGTGCATATGGTCTAATAAGCTTCACTAAACTCTAATGTCAAAATGTATAACTAATATACTGTAATTGATTAGCGAGCAAAAAAGCAGAGCTGCTTCTCATTCTTTGGAAGGAAAATTGCCTGTCATATACGACACACGGCATCCAAAAAGGTTAATTACTTTATCGTCCGTTTTTATATTAAAAATATTCACGTTATTGTAAACCTAAACGATGACAGGGATGGAAATATTGATAAAAGTAGAAACGTTTTAACACGTTGCAGCCCATTAAAATTTGCAGAATGCCAAATTCGGTAATGAAGATTACACAATATACCACTTAGAATATCAAAGAGATAAACTTTTTGATATTGTTTTATAAATCGCATTTTTTATACAAAAATTTTGCTCTCTCGTTGATATACAGTACTAGCCTGTAACAAAAAACTTAATTTTATAATGTTACTAGCAGACCCCGCCACGCCTTGTTGTGGCTCAGAATGTATCTATTATAAATGTATAACACTTCCCCCGTCGGGGAAAATTTTTCGAAAAATTTTTTCTTAATGTACATTCTGTTGACGTACTCTATTAAAACGCAATCAAAAACGCAAAAAACCGCATCTAAAATAGTATAAACAGAAGCAGAGTTCTTTAAGGTAAGCCTTCCCCGTAAGGCTTACCGTAAAGAACTGTTCATCTCCCATGTTTAACGGAATAATATACAGCCTATGTCTACCCTGAAGTTTCATTCTAAATATTGGTGAAAGAATTTTTGAAATCGGATGAGTAGTTTCGGAGATTACCTGCTGCATACAAACTAACATACATACAAACATTACCTGTTTATAATATTAGTATAGATTATGCGGTTATTATTTTGTTGCGACACTCAACTTATACACATTCAACAGCAGACAACGAAGCGAAATGAACTCATTTTTCTCCTTTAACATCGTCAATTTAATTTCATATAAAAAATACTCGAATTTCGTAAATTTATTCCTTTATCATATAACAAGAAGTTGATACAATACAAGAACTTCATATTATTTTATTCACAAGAAGTTGAGTTGATATAAAACCACATAATAGCTGGTTTCGAATTTTGTCTGACTAACTGCATGCACGTGACGTTTTCCGAATTTACTGTCCTCGTCGAACACCTAAACACAAGAGACACCTTCCTATAAAAAATCTCTTCCTGCAGATACACTCCTTGGCAAATTGCTCTCGTGTTACGTTGCGTTACCTCACACAATATAATCTTAAATAAGCAAAAACCACCTGAAACATCGGACAGCATTAAATCTATTCTCTAAATATAAAATTACTTTAAAATCGTCACGAAAATTTTGAACAAGTGAGAAAAGTTTCTTAGTGTAACTATAATTCAATTAAACTCAAAATTAAAAATTTAATATCGTAATGAATTTTCCATCATTAATTAAAAATGAAACATTTAGTTTTGATAATTATTAAATAAATTGATCCAAACTAGCGTATTGTATCTATAGATTACAGAACTTACATTCATTTTTCAACAGAACAAAACTTTTGTACTTAATTAAAATTTCAATAGAAGTTATGAAATTAATAGAAAAAATACAGTTAATTAACTAACAATTTATAAGAAACATTTAAAATAACATACTTAAATTTTTATAGTAGCACTTAAGCTATGTACGAGTATGTTTACTACATGACACACGAGTTCAAAAAAATTCGCCATCCCTCCAATGGAGTGTTCACTTAGAACCTAGTGTATAAAGAAATTTTACTTTAATATAAAGGACATCATCTGTTTATGTGTATGCAAGTGAAATCTCTAAAACTCCTACTATTTTTATCCTCTGCAGGTGAAATTTTCTTTCGTTGCTCTTTATGTTACAACAAACAGTAGACTTCTTTATTTGAAAAAATAAAATATTAGCAACTAGTTAGTTTCCGATGCAAATTTGCCTAGTTTTATAGGCGAATTTGAATACAGATTAAGCAATGAGCTCGGGCAACAGTGCCTAAGATTCGATTATCAGTTACACTCATAACTGAATAATGGAGTCATCAGCTATTCTTCACGTTACGATTCTGACTGTCAGAAGCCCGGGAGCAACTTGCATTACAAATCGAATTTGTAGTGTAAGTTATTTCCTCTTCTATTTTGTCTAACAAATGGCTTTACACATCTAGAATGAGATTTATAATTCTCTCTGAATGTAAAAATACAGTAGAGCCTCGATTATCCCACCTAATTGGGGACTGGGGTTAGTCGGATAATTGAAAAGTCGGATAACCGAAAAGTATGAAAAAATCTATTATTAGTGTAGTATATTATTATATCCCATGTAATTAGTATATTAGTATATCGCTATTAACCTATTTTTCGTTGAATTTTCATCGATGTTAAGCCTAACAAAAATTTTTTAAAATAATAATCGTCGCTATTGTATCGTTAAAAATTAGAAAGTTAAGCCTCGTTTAAATACTGGCTCCCTTTCATGGTCGATCCAGTGTTGCCACCTAAAACACGTAAAAATAATATTAAAGTAGCCAAGACATAGCCAAATATTGTACGCCAAATATAAGCGCCACATCAATAGCGGACATTTGAAATTTGCCGACTAGGACGGTCGGTTAACCGAGGAGTCGGTTGATGGGGGTTCGGATAATCGAGACTCTACTGTATATGAATCACTCAATAGATCTCATTATCTTTGTTATAGTTCACAGCGTAATTGTCCCTACGATGTATAAGCTTTTATCTATAAACTTAATTTAATTTTATTAATAGATTATAGCTTGTCGCTGACGTAAATTACAAAGGGATATAAAATTTGGGTTTATGCTTTTTCGGGTGGTGATAAAATCGAAATTTTTATTCAATTTTAAACGAAATGATCATCACAAAAGACGAGAATATTCGGTTTTTACCCACATTAACGTGGCAACTCAACAATAAAACTCTGTGTAGTAACAAATTGTCGGAGTTTTATTGTTGCGAGCGGTCGTCGATTGTTATTGAGAACGGTTGGATTTTTAGTTCGTGCTGTCAAAATTTTCTCGTTTCGAGTGTTTTTCTCAGTTTCGTTTGGTTTGCGTCGATTTTATCGGTAAGTATAGACTACGATGTTTCTAATTTTACGTATTTTTGAACATTGTTAAGCCGAATATCACAATTAGTGCCAATGATTTTCCTACCAATCTCTATTTCCATAACAATTGATCGATCTCGAAACCAATTATATATCGAACATTAAAATTACTATATTTAACAGAGATTTTATTATAATATTCATTTGTGACTTTTTCTTATAATTAAGACGATATTTTTAAAATGATTTTTTCATTAGAAATCTTACAATTTACATAAAATTAAATTAACAAAACCAATGATTTTCATAATAGTCGTTTCTTTCTTTTGCAGAATGGATAATTTCAAGGAATTAAAGAAGTGGCGCACCTCG